ATTTAAATTGCAAAAATAGTTTACATGTAGATGAGCTAGTTTTGTCAAGTAGCTTTTAGCTTAGCTTGCTACATTTTGCAGGGGGTAGCTTTTAGTGTAGTTAAGCTACATTTTAAGTAGAGTAGCTAATAATAGCTTACCTCACTATAGTTTTCTAGTAGCTTGGCTAACACTATGTATAATGCTACTGTCACACCCATAGAGCGGCTAAATGGATTTAAAAAAGGTTAAAAACTGTTTAACTTTAGTGAAATCATAAAATGATCCTATTTTCAAAAACAAGTGGAGTGTTCCTTTTAAAACGTCATAAGGGACAATAAATAATGAGGTAATTTTCATTTTTGGGTGAACTATCCCTAAGATGAGCGCTATAAGTATAATTATGCTTACCTTAGCTAATTATTTTCTAGAATTCCTCTGTAATATAATGTCTGATTAACACAGTATTGAATTTGGGGTAAAATTATCACCCCTTCCCTTCCAAGCTGTTTTTTTATAGCCGGATTTATAATAATAGAGTCTAATGCATCCATATAAAAGGTTTCCGACCGGCATGGTCAAACCCGATTCAATGATTTATGCTAAGCTAAGCTAAAAAATGCTGCCGTCCCACCCAGAGAGAGACTAAATGGATTAAAAATTGTAAAAATTAACTGTTTAACTTTTAAAATGATCCTACTTTTAAAAAAGTGGAGTGTTTATTTAAAATGTCTTGAGGGACAATGAATAATGGGGTAATTTTCATTTTTGGGTAAACTGTTTCTTTAAAATGAGCGTTACATCTATAATAATGCTACTTTCAGCTTATTATTTTCTAGAATTCCTCTTTAATGTAATGTCTGATTAACATAATATTCAATTTGGCGTGAAAGATGACTCCTTCCCCTCCAAGCACAGTTCTTTATAGCCGGATATGTACTAATAGTGTCAATGCATCCATATATAGGTGTCACAGTCACTGTATACCCACTGCATGCCCATATACGACCAAAACGTTTGAACTCGTGCAGGACGCACACATGGTATAGATCGATGTGGGTGTCTGTGTATGTGTGAGCATCTACCTTGCGCGATGTGCTGGTGTGATGGAACCTTATGGCGGTGTGTCAGTGTGTGACGCTGACAGGTAATCCCGCTCTGTGACGTGGATCACCTCTTTTTCTAGCAGCTCGTCAACAGATGGAAACTGCCGGATTAGCACTATAAGAGCGACGGCTGACAGAGCGAGGAAAGACATCCTCATCCAGCAGAACAACAACCACACCCGGGATATATGTGAACAAACCTACATTGATTTCAGGCTCTAGAGAAGCAAAACAAATCACTCTTGACTGAGAAACATTCACTGAAGACGTCTGAGCGCGAGACTGAACTTTAAAGTCATTGCTATTTGAATTGGAAAGTTTTCGGTGATCCTCGGAATAGTTGAGACATGACTATTATCAAGGTCAAACAGTAAGTATTTTGGAACGTGGGATTATTAGTTGTCGCTAATTGGACTTTATAGGTCTCTATTGCTTATAACAGCCAGCCTTTGTTGATTAGTTTGTTTGTGTGTGTGTGTGTATAAAAGTAGTCAATTGTGAAATTATTAAAACATGCATATTTAAAATTAAACATGGTTACCTTCACTAGGTGAATGTCTTTGTTGGGTATGGGCTGGTGTATGATTCTGACGGTATGATGACCTCGGATTTAGATATTATGGTTTCACTGTATTGTGATTACTGCTCTTAAATATGATATTTTTTTAAATGTCTTTGTGGAAAAAAACAGTGACCATATCAGGCTAAATAATTCTAATAAATCATTGATTTCTGCTGTCATCATTAGTTTCAAAATCACTAATTTCTTTACGACTTAATAAAATACATTTTTGCATGCATTTGTTTGGATATAAAGTGAGCCACTGCACTGTTCAGATCTATAGTTGGACTATAGGATTTGTTTTTCAGATGATTTCTGAATCTTGGGTTTAATTCATGTTTATCTTTATAGTGCTTTTACAATGTAGATTGTGTCAAAGCAGCTTAAGAAGTTCTAGACTGTGGTGAGAAACAAAACTTCACTAACTGACGAAAGTGAAGGAAAAAGGCTGACCAGTAGCTTTTGATGTGGAGGGTTCATTTCGGTCTTTTCTAAAAAAACGAATTAAAATATTAGTTAAAACACATAAATGTAAATGAATAACATATACCCTAGGAACTGTATAACAGAACATTTGTGGTTTTAAACCCTTGACATTTCCAAACCACGATGAAACCGGTTATCTTCCCATGCCAAGTCTTCATTCATTTATTTTTGTTGTATGATATCTCTTGCTATCTGTTGTGCTAGCTATTAATTGGTTAAAGTGGTTGTTTACGCCAAAAAAAATGAAAACTTCCTCATTTATTCTCCCTCATGTGGTTTATAATCTTTTGAGTTTCTTTAAAAAAAAGAAGATATTTTGAAGAATGCTGGCACCAATTGACTTCCATAGTAGGCAAAAAAAATACAATGGAAGTCAATAGGTGCCAGCATTCTTCAAAATATCTCATTTTATGTTCCACAGAGGAAAGAAACTCGGATATATATATATTTTGAAGAAGTGAATGGTGAGTAAATAATGATGGAATTTTTATTTCTAACTCAAATAAATCAATCCAAAAACACAAAGAAATAAATGATAATAATATTATTAATGATAACAAATGAAATAAAATTACATATACACAAGGAATGGAATAACAGAACATTTTTGCAGTTTTAAAACCTTGATATTTTTAAACCACTGTAAAACCGGTTATTGTCCCATGCCTAGTCTTCATTTATTTATTTATTCATTTATTCATTTTCCTGTCAGCTTAGTCCCTTTATTAATCCGGGGTCGCCACAGCGGAATGAACCGCCAACTTATCCAGCACGTTTTTACGCAGCGGATGCCCTTCCAGCTGCAACCCATCTCTGGGAAACATCCACACACACTCATTCTCACACACACACACACACACACGCACACACACACACACACACATACAATACGGAAAATTTAGTCTACTCAATTCACTTGTCTTTGGACTGTAGGGGAAACCGGAGCACCCGGAGGAAACCCACGCAAACGCAGGAAGAACATGCAAACTCCACACAGAAACGCCGAGAATCGAACCAGCGGCCTTCTTGCTTTAAGGCAACAACACTATATACTGTACTAGCTATTACTTGGTTAAAGTGATTGTTCATGCAAAAATGAAAATTACCTAATTTATTCTGCTTCATGTGGTTTTAAATCTTTTGAGTTTCTTTCTAAAAAAGAAGATATTTTGAAGAATGCTGGCACCAGTTTACTTCCATAGTAAGAAAAAAGTTACAATAGAAATCAATGTGTGGCAGCTAACAGCATTTTTCAGAATAACATCTTTTTTTTTAAGAAAGAAACTCTGATATTTATGTTAAGGGTGAGTAAATGATGACAGAATTTTCATTTTTAAACTTTTCAAACTATCCTGTTAAAGGGTTAATTCACCCCCAAAAATGTACATTTAATAAGTTTAAAGGTTGACTTCTTTTGCTGTTCGACAACAAAAATAGATGTTTTGAAGAATGCTGGCAACCGGAATGATTCTTATTGAGTTATGCAGTATTTTTCCTACTATGGAAGTCGATAGGTACACATAATATTTGGGTATTTACATTCTTAAAAACCTCATCTTTTGTGTTCAATGGAAGAAACTCGACAGCGAGTAAATGATCAATTATGAACTATCCTCTTTTTAAATTGATTGCCACACAGTTAACATTGATACATGCCTATAAAAGGTACAAGTACGCAAAATACATAGTGCCAGGTTCACAATTTAACACAAAAGATTACAGTTTTCTTTTACCCTAACCCTTTTTTAAAGTACCTTGTTAGTATTGAACACAAGCTACATTTTAAATAGTAATAAATAAATATATAGGTTAAAAACGAACTATAAATTTTTAATTTATTTTGTTAGTGTTAAATGTGATTATCATTAATATATTATTAATTATCCCTACCAAAATATCACAAATGCTCAAGATTTGTCATTTTGCTGATTATCTTTTTGTGTGTGATGCCCTGGAAATGCCTGAGCACGTGTGCGCTAGTAATCTGCATATGGCCACATATGGTCAACAGGTTGCAAGGTAGTGTGAGGTTTTGATGTTGGCCTGTTGTCTGCTGACTCAGTGCCAGTTTTTGTTGGAGGCAGGCAGCAGCAGCAGGTTTGACCAAAGGTTTGACCTGGTTTACATACTGCAGCGTGACTCGGCATTTCAGCGGGTCAGTATGGGGGTAATACGCAAGCTGCTGCAGCTCTGACAACAACACGGTTATTTCTGTCGGGATCCAGATTATGATTATCGATAAGACCATTGAAGTCTGTTTGTGTGCGCACGTGCGTTTCTGATTGGCGAGCGGTTGCTTGCATAGTAGGAGCAAGATTATTATAGTTTTGCATTTTTATTGAGTTTTTATTTCAGTACTATTTTAAGAAATTGCGATACATTTCAGTTTAGTTTTAGTTTGCTACGTCAATGGTTTTGTTTTATTTAGCCCCCTTTTTTTAATTTAGTGTTTATACATTTAGTTTAAATTTTAGGGATTCTATTTGAAGAAAAGCATCCAGTTTAGTGTTTGCACAGCTTACATTCACTCTAGAGCAAACCTCTTAGTAATAAAAATAATAGTTTGAACAGACACTGAACCCAGAACCATACAAATGCAGCTTAAATTAATAAAAGTACAAATTTTAAGACGATATTTAAAATGTATGGAGTTAAACATGCCAAAAACTGGATGTCTTGGACTTTCAGAGTGCTTATTAATTCTGAAAACAATGTCTATTTCTGTTATTTATTATTTAAGTTTTATTTTATTGTTTTTAGATTTTTAACCAATAGTTTTAGTCTTTTGGTTTTCGTTTACTGAAGTAACCTTGAGTTGGGAGCTTGTGTTTCATCATGTTTTATTTCTTTCGTTTGTGTCTTTATAGAGTCCCCACCGTCCCTGTGAAGAACTTAAATGGATCCAGTCCTGTTCATCCCGCTCTGGCAGGTGAGAAACGATATGCAAATAGGGTATAAATAGTGGCTTTGATGATTAATTATAGTAACACGTTAAATTGGAAGCAAATGAAGATGTTAAAATGTAAAAATAGATGGACTGATGGATTTCTCTGCTCTCATTGGTCAGGAATCACTGGTATTCTGATGAGCGCTGCTGGACTGCCGGTCTGCTTGACCCGCCCACCTAAACTGGTGCTCCACCCTCCACCTGTCAGCAAGAGTGACATCAAACCTGTGCCAGGCCTCGGCCACTGCTGCCGGAAAACCACTAAAAAACAAGCCCGCAAAGGTCAGCAGCACATCATTTTTATTTGTACGTTATTTTTTATTTATTTATTGCACATTATTTTTCTATTTTCTATTTATTTATAATTTATTTATATTTTGCACATTATTTTTATATTTTTATTTATACATTTTTATTAATTTTTGCACATTGTTTTTATTTATTTTTTGCATATTATTTTTTATCTATTTATTTACTGCCCATTATTATTTTTAATTTATTTTAAATAATTCTTTCATTTTTGCCCATTATTTTTTATCAATTTTCTTTCTTTATTTTTCTTTCTTTATTTTTTTGCACAATTTTTTATTTGTTTATTTAGATTTATTTATTTTTTTGCACATATTTTTTATATTAATTTATTTTTTATATATTTATTGTTGCACATATTTTTTTATAAATTAAATAATTATTATTTATTTATTTTTGCACATGTTTATTTATTTTTGCACACATTCTTTTTGTTATATATATATATATATATATATATATATATATATATATATATATATATTTTTTTTTTTTTTATTTTTTTTTTTTTTTTTTTTTTTTTTTATATATACTTATTACATTTTTGTATATTATGTCAAATTCATGACTGACTGTTTCTTTTAATCGTGTAACTTAATAATTTTCCTGTTTCATTTGAGCAGGTAGGACTTCAGAAGAAGTTGTTAGGCGGTATCTTCAGAAAGTCCGCAACCCACCAGAGGAGGTAAACATACACGAGAAATGTGTGCTAAATTATTTTTCATTATTCAGATATATTGTAACAAAATAATTAAACACTTATTTTAATAACCTTTCATTCGCTATTAACTAATTCATTTCCTTATTATTTTTTTCCACTCTATCAATTCAAATGTGTTCTAGGACTGCACAATTTGCATGGAGTCTCTGTGTGGGCCGTCCGGCTATAAAGGACCAGGCGTGGGTGGTATTTCTCGGGCCGAGTCAGTGGGCCGTCTGTCTCAGTGCGGGCATCAGTACCACCTGCAGTGCCTGGTGGCCATGTACAACAACGGCAACAAGGACGGCAGCCTTCAGTGTCCCACCTGCAAGACCATATACGGTGTCAAAACCGGCAACCAGCCACCAGGCAAGATGGAGTACCACGTCATTCCACACTCGCTACCCGGACACCCCGACTGCAAAACCATTCGGATTATCTACAACATCCCCCCTGGCATTCAGGTATGAGCCATCAACACTAAAACCACTGCATTGTCTATTCATCTTGGCATTTGTACCACCTACATTGCATATTGCACTGCTGCAGTCTTATATAAGAGCATGAATGCATTATATAACAACAGTGTAGGTCTAAATGGCTCTGTGTGGGATTGTTTTAGGGTCCGGAGCATCCAAACCCCGGGAAACCCTTCACCGCTCGTGGATTTCCCAGACACTGCTACCTCCCTGACAGTGAGAAAGGCCGTCTGGTGAGTCTTTTATAAACACTGTTCACTTAGTTGTTATTATACTGCTCTTATTCATTTACCTAGTCCAATGTTGTCATTCAACCAGGGCAGGAACTATTTGAACTGACTAATTAAGCTATATTAACTATTTGCCCCCTGAATTAATTTTCGGAGGATTTTTCCCTCTTAGAGTTGGCATGGCAAACGTTTTTATGGCAAATTATGTTCATATCCTACTATATAGGTTAAGTTAGATTACTTTATTTATATCCGAGGGTAGATTTGGTATTCACCAGCAAGCAGTAGATAGACCGGCATCCATAATGACGTGATGAATAAAATATCCATTGTAGATAAATTGCACTCAAATTTATTTAAAATATTATCCCATAAACATTTAAAAAGAGAAGAGCAAACACAAAAAACTTAAAATGTTAAAACAAAGTGTTCCAAAACAAAACACACACACTCTAGTCTCCCATGCCAAACGCCCACTGCTGCTCGCTGCGTGCGTCCCCTATAAACTATATCCATTCAATTATACCTGTATCCAAAGGCAAAGGGCAGTACCTCCACATTTAGTTGAAACTGAGTTATGGCCTAAACTGGAGTTCTGTTGAGTCTTTTGACTTCTGGTTCATGGTACATTGATCATACAGCCTCCACATGCACTTTGAATCATTTCCGCACTATTTTCGTTTTCCACAAGGTTTCAATATTGAATCAGGCTGTTGTTTTATAAACTGAAAAGAAATGGACGATACAGAACAAGAGCAACAACAAACTATTGAGTCAAACGCAACCAACAATTTCATGTGTGAGAGGAATACACAGGCCATATTCACTTCTCTATTTGAAATGGGTACAAAGACATTTTTACAGCTTTTTTTATAGCGAGAGAAAAAAAGATCTAATGCATCATGCACTGATGTGTTAATGTGTGTGTGTATGTGCATACATCTGTATGTGGGATAAGTGGTGTTAACTTACAAGTTATTGTAGATCTATAATAGAGAAGTGAATTGCTGACACTGAATTCATCATCAGAGGCCTGTTGCACAACACAATTGCATGTTAAGTTGCAGGTTGACAAAACCAACAAATCCAACCTGGTTAAGATCATGTTAAGTGGTTTCGCATTGCTTGATAAAACACTCTTCTGTTTACCTCCTTTGTGATTAACTCTGGACAGCATGCAGATGAAATTGTGAAGCGTGCAGATTACAGTCAGCAATTCACTTCTCTGTTGAAGATTCTGATCAGAAACAAAATGAATTTAAGTACATTTACAATGCAGAAGAACACTGCTGGTCCAGAAAAAGTTTGAGAAAGCGACTTGAAGAATTATTATGATGTTAGTGCAAATCAGTCAACTGATTTAAATATTTTAGGTTCACAAACTGCCTGAAAGGCCTGATTATATTAAAGCAAATTTATATGTAAATATTTAAATACAGTTATTTACGGCCATTATTAATATTATTATATATTATATATTTACCAGTAAAATGTGTAATATAATTGATTAATTCTTATAATATAAATATATTATTAGTACCAAATTTGTTATTTTACTGAAAAAATGCTTTTGGTGTAAATTTGGAGCAAAAAAGATCAGAAATGTCAATTTTCTCAAAGCTGATTGGTCCGCAATCTCTAAACCAGAATTAAACATGAGCCAGAGCAGGTTAGGCGTGTAGCATACGTTGCCATGGTGATGCACAATCAAAACAAACCCACATTTTTCCAAGATGTCCTCGCTGCAGTCTGTATTACAATGACATACTGGACCAGGTCCAATACATAGTGGACATTATAACGCCCACTAAGGTAATAATGCCCATGCTACTGTGATGATTGGGGCAGGTGTAGAATATCGTCCATTACGTAATGGACCTGGGTGGGGTTGCACCAGCTATTTGTAAGTTTTTTCTTAAACTGGAGCATAAAGCCCACACTTGGGGCTTAGTAACTACTAGCTAGTTTGTCGCTAAATTTGTTCTTACTTCTGTTGCACCACATGTTGTTAAGACAAACCGTAGTTAGTAATTAGTGTAAAGTCGTGTAGTCGCATTGAATGATGTAATATCCAATGAAAAACATTTAAATCATTATACTGCTTTAAAACTAATGCATCTATATAGAACTGTCCTATAAAAATTAAGTGACTAATACATTTTTATAGTTCAGGAAATTACAGTCAGTCACTATAACAGACGACGCACATACCTGCATCGCGAGTCGTGACTGCACACGAAGTTTTCAAAACATTAAACTTGCATATTTTTTTATGTCCTACTCATGAAGAGAAAAGAGCAGGAAGAACTCCTTCATGAAGAAATTCTCATTTTAATGGATGGATACAATTAACACAAAACACCACTTTAACTTCCTCATATACCAAAAGAAAAGGAAATTGTGGCTGTGAGTAGAGGGAGATTATTCTCATTTTGATCACGAGCTTCTCAATGTAAACTAATCTCGTGGTCATCTCTTTTCTACCATTATACATGGGGGGAGGCTGCTGTAAATAGTTGGAATGTAGTGTTACTTTCAAACTAAGTTCAGTGGTGCAACACAAAAATATTTAGTAGTGTGACTTAGTGTCACTTTAGGTTACAACTAGGCTATGTTTTAACTTGCGCACTGATGGTGCAACCAGCCCCTGGTCCAGTACATCATTAGGCTGCGGACTGCAGCAAGGACAGTCTCCATTCTTGAACCCGAACCTTTTTTTTCCCCCATGCTTTGTTAAAGGTTTTGGTCTTTTATTCCTCTGTCATAGGTGTTGAAGCTGTTGCTGGTTGCCTGGGACCGCCGGCTGATCTTCTCGGTGGGCACATCCAGCACCACAGGCGAGACGGACACAGTCATTTGGAACGAGGTGCATCACAAAACCGAATTCGGCTCCAATCTGACGGGCCACGGTTACCCTGACTCGGGCCACCTGGATAACGTCCTGGAGGAGCTGCGGGCGCAGGGCATCACTGAGGAGGAGTGTCTGAGGGACTGAAAACCTTGAAAAGTCCAACCACAAAGACTGAATGTTTCTTTCTGTGTTAGTGTTGCCAAATCTGAATTCAATTCCCAGCTCTTGTTTCTCAAATGACGCTTTTGGAAATCAAGGACTCTAAAAGGTTTATAATTCATCATCCTCAATTATTATTATTCTTTTTTTTGTCAGTGATATTAGCCCTCCTATTGCTAAAGAAATCTGAGCCTGTCAGAAGTGGGCTGCGAGAGCTGTAATTAACAAACAATATTGCACTGTGCGCTATTGTGGTGGAGCCGTTCTCTCTTTGAAAAACTCGAAGGACCTGATAGAGTTCTCCCCACAGAAACCAGACTTGCTGCAGTGCAATTTTGTCGCTAGCGGGCCGCAGGCACGGAACAGTGTCTGCTCAACCATTTATTGTATTGTAGTTCTGTGAAGGATACGCAAAACAAAGGTACATCTGTGCATGTAGTTGTATCATGTGGCGCAGAGACGTTTATGTCCTTGGTGTAACCGAGGCGGCTAACTTTGAAGCTCCAGTTGCAGTTTTAGATGCCGGAACGTGAATGTTTACTGCCCCATAGTGGCACTTGTTAACATATACATTCCAGTAATAACCATGGTATTTATTTGACCACATAGTTTTTTCGAAATGTTTGCAGTATTTACATTAACCACTTATATTTGTACTTATTTTATTGTATCTTACGTTATTTTATATCGTCGAAACGAGAAACCTGTACTGTCATCGATTTTTGGGATGGAAACCAGTCTCTGTTTAGGGACGTTCAACTCAACCTGATTTGTTAATCAGTATTAAAAAAATATACATTGAGCCAAGGTGATTCTGGTGGCCAACAGAGGAACAACGCACAAATTTAGTGAAAATAAACTTTTTTTTTTTTGGGTGATTGGATTTGCCGTCGGAGATGAAGGCCCTTGTCCACACGAACATGGGTATTTTCAAAACCACACTTTTTTTCTACATTGTTTTGCTGTGTGTCCACACGAAAACGGAGTATCGAGTGAATAAATTCTAAACAGTCTGAAAACCATGGTTGAAGTTTTTTTCGCCTCATGACAGCATCCATGCTGTTTTCTCCTTTCTGATTGGCCAAGGTGACTGGGTTCACACCAAATGCGGAAGATGCAAATGAGGCAAAATTCTGCACATTCGTGGAAAACACAAGTATTTCGTGTCGTATGCCATTTGTGCAAATACTTAATTCTTTGTTTGTTTTGAACCCATCATAAGTGTTATTATCGCCCCCTGTTGGTTCGGCATGTCCATAACATTCTTCAATGTGCGTATTTTGCATTGTCATGTGGACAGTTTTTTTTTTATTTTTTTGGTGTTTGGATTTGCTGTCGGAAATGAAGGCCTTGTCCACACGAACACTGGTATTTTCAAAACCACACGAAAAAGGAGTATCAAGTGAATGAATTCGAAACTTTCTGAAAACTCCAACCAAGGTGAAGATTTTCCTAAACTCCAGCTACAGTGTGGTCGAAGTTTTGTTTCGCCTCATGATGGCGTCCATGCTTTTTTGCTCCTTGCTGATTGACCAAAGTGTCTGGGTTCACACCGAACGCGGAAGATGCAAATGAGGCAAAATTCCGCACATTCCTGGCAATTGCGTCGCATATTTCATGTCATTCACCCTTGAGGCGGTAATCCACCTCTGTTCTCATGTTTGCATTGATTTGTATGTGATTTGTGCAACTACTTAATTCTTCGTGTGTTGTGAATCAAGCATAAAAGTGTGATAGTTGCCCCCTGTTGGTGTGGCATAACGTTTTTTTTTTTAACAAAAGTGGGGAAAACTCCCATGTACGTGTGGACATGGCCTAAAAAGTTACGAACAGGGCGAAATCTGCGCGATAGTACTTTTAATATGATGTCATCTGTTTCGATTCTCCAAAATTGAAGTGGTCTGCCTTTAAAGTGGTTACTAACGTACCCTGTTGACAAATCCTGTGGACTAGCTCTCTCCGGTTGCCTTTCTGGTCGGTACGCGGTAGGTCTGTGATGGACCTGTTTACAAAGCTGTTGATGAAGCGTCTGCATGTATGTACATGCAAATGTGTAAGCTTACATTTATAGTTGATGTGCTGTATGTATGTGTTTTATGTACACAATTATTTTCGCCCTGCATCCAAAAGCATGTTGTGGAAGTAAATGAGTATTTCTTTTTCTTGTATCATTTTTTATAATATACTTTGAATTGGTTTAACTCTGTTTTTTTTTTCTTCTTATAAGCTATTAGGGTTTTTTCCACTGTGAAGTTTTTAATTTTCTTTTATTGCACTTGTATGATTTGATTTATTGTCCAGCCAAGTTCCTCATGATAGTTGCTATGGAGACAACAGTGAAAATGGCATCGCTGCCAGGACGAAAACTGTGAAGACAAAGAACGGAGCTAGGAGAACTAATGTTGCTGTATAATATAAAATGTACAAAACAACTCTTGCATATTAAATAGCTGCTGGAATACTGAATAAATATTAAAGGTACTCAAAAGGAAATGCTGGTTTGGGGTTGTTTCTATTTCCATAAAACACCTGGCTCCAGTTATTAGTTTGTTTATCTTTCCACTCGGACATTCTCTGGCATGTTATGTAGTTTTTAGTTCTGCCAATCAGACACGAAATATTTGAGTCTCACAGCAGGGGGCGATATTTCGCTAAAGATTTTATAATGTAAAATAAAGGGCATTACACACTCCCTGTACTGCAACACATTGTGGCATATGACTAATACCGTGCCAACATATGTAGTTGTTTAACAATAATTTAATATACACTATTGTAAATATTAAAGTTGCATAATGATTTTTCAAAATATGCAAAAATAGTATGCATTATTGTTTGTCAGTGCTGGAAGCCGACAGCCATTTTACATCAATAATCTCAAAATGTGCTAGTCAGAATCCATCAAGAAGGCAATAGGGTGGGCTTCTATCTCTCTCTCGAAATTAAAATTTTAACACAACACAAAATGAACAGACCATCTGTCCCCTCTCCTAAGACCAGGGCATTTCCTCTACAGGCAGATGATCCAGTCTGTTAATTAATGCTCTTTATGTTCTGTTACATAACCCTGGATCAGTATCAGGACTAATTCAAAGACCAGAGGGTTTGACATGAATCTGATAAGATAGATTTTGCTGCTGGCTACCAAGATTTTTAGCTTAATGCCAGCAAGAATTAGCTATGTTATATACATATATAAATGTTAAACTAATACATAGATAATTAAACATATCAATTATTGATTGATAAAATTTAGCTAGATAGTTGGATATAAATGTTAGATTGTTTAATGATGATAGCTTGCAAGCTAAACGTATAGCCTATATACAAACAGTACAGCTAGCTCAGTTTAATTATAGAGCTAGACAGAGTTATGGTTATCTATCTTTTCAGATAGATAGATAGATAGACAGACAGACAGACAGACAGACAGACAGACAGACAGACAGACAGACAGACAGACAGACAGACAGACAGACAGACAGACAGACAGACAGACAGACAGACAGACAGACAGACAGACAGACAGATAGATAGATAGATAGATAGATAGATAGATAGATAGATAGATAGATAGATAGATAGATAGAAAGAATTGTATTTAGAGTCCTAGACAGTAACACATTAGCAAGATAGATATACTTATATTTAGAGTGCTAGATAGCAACACACTAACTAGCAAGATAGATAAGAGTGCTAGATAGCAACACACTAACTAGCAAAATAGACAAGCTTGTATTTAGAGTCCTGATAGCAACACACTAAGTAGCAAGATAGATTTGAGTGCTAGATAGCAACATACTAACTAAGATAGATATACTTGTATTTAGTGTGCTAGATAGCAACACACTAACTAGCAAGATATATATTAATGCTAGATAGCAACACACTAACTAGCAATATTGATATACTTGTATTTAGAGTGCTAAATAGCAACACCCTAACTAGCAAGATAGATGCTTGTATTTAGAGTGCTAGATAGCAACAAATTATCTAGTAAGATAGATATACTTGTATTTAGAGTGTTAAATAGCAACACACTAACTAGCAATATAGATACTTGTATTTAGAGTGCTAGATAGCAATACTCTAACTAGCAAGATAGATATACTTGTATTTAGAGTGCTAAATAGCAACACACTAACTAGCAAGATAGATACTTGTATTTAGAGTGCTAGATAGCAACGCTCTAGCTAAGATAGATATACTTATATTTAGAGTGCTAGATAGCAAAACACCAACTAGCAAGATATATATACTTGTATTTAGAGTGCTAGATTGCAATACTCTAACTAGCAAGATAGATATACTTGTATTTAGAGAGCTAGATAGCAACTCTAGCAAGACAGATATACTTGTATTTAGAGTGCTAGATAGCAACACATTAACTAGCAAGATAGATATACTTGCATTTAGAGTGCTAGATAGCAACACACTAAGTAGCAAGATAGATTTGAGTGCTAGATAGCAACATACTAAGATAGATATACTTGTATTTAGTGTGCTAAATAGCAACACACTAACTAGCAATATTGATATACTTGTATTTAGAGTGCAAGATAGAACACAATAACTAGCAAGATAGATATACTTGTATTTAGAGAGCTAGATAGCAACTGTAACTAGCAAGATAGATATACTTGTATTTAGAGTGCTAGATAGCAACACACTAACAAGCAAGATAGATTTGAGTGCCAGATAGCAACATACTAACTAAGATAGATATACTTGTATTTAGAGTGCTAGATAGCAACACACTTAGTAGCAAGATAGATTTGAGTGCTAGATAGCAACATACTAAGATAGATATACTTGTATTTAGTGTGCTAGATAGCAACACACTAACTAGCAAGATAGATATGAGTGCTAGATAGCAACACACTAACTAGCAATATTGATATACTTGTATTTAGAGTGCTAAATATCAACTCCAACTAGCAAGATAGATATACTTGTATTTAGAGTGCTAGATAGCAACACACCAAGTAGCAAGATAGATATGAGTGCTAGATAGCAACACTAACTAGCAAGATAGATATGAGTGCTAGATAGCAACACTAACTAGCAAGATAGATATATTTGTAAAGTGCTAGATAGCAAGAAAGGCTCACTATCAAGATAGATAGACAAGACAGACAGACAGACAGACCGACCAACCACAAGTGTTATCTATCCAACTTTTTTCTTAGATATACAGAGCAGGCATTATGTTAGAATATTTCTGTCAAATTTTTTAATGTGTTCAAGTATTTAATGGTTATTAAGCCAAGCCGTCCTAGCCTGTTATGTTGATCTGTGCTCATCTCAGACAGGGTTGTCTCCAAATGAAGTGAAGTTGAATGTGAAGGTGATGACATCTAGACAGATGGACGAAGAGCATAATGCGGTTAACACTGAGTTAGCCACAAAGAAGCATGCACCGTGTGTCATCTCAGCTGGTAATCTGTCAAAGGGAGCACACGATAACCCTGCCCCCCAAATGACTACCCCCAATGCTCCGTCCGAGACCCCTGTAGTGATAGGAGATGTAATCTGAAACACTTGGGTGGAGTCAGGCTAGAGGGCGAATGCACTGTGATACCAAAAGGCTCAGGGAAAGAAGGGGTAATTATGCTATTCTAAACAAGTCTCATGAATGTACATGCTTTAAAAATCTCTTTAGGAACTTGTGACTGACTTGAATAAGGAATTGGTCTGCTTGCTAATGTTTGGATCTGACATACAAACAGCAGTTTTGGCTCATTTGATCAATAATCCTCTTGCTTTGAAGGAGTTGTGTTCGGTGCAGAGGCACTTTCTCTGCAACATCAGTTTAGCTCCTTCTCTATTAAAAGCTTTTAAGCTCATAAACGCTTGACTAAGTGGTCTGGAGAGAGCCCAGTTGCCAAGGCAACAGCTCAGTCTGCCGCTTTCAGTCCCCAGAGGAGTCGTATTTCACATGCAGATTTTCTGCCTGCCCGACCCACTTTGTTGGCTTTCAGCTAAAAGCTTTTTGCTGCATACTGACAGAGACAAAAGAGTAGAGGAGAAGGGGATGGGTTTGGCTAGAAGAGGAGGGCCTTCGCTGGCTGTTGCCAGGGTAACTTGACATCATGCTGACGAACTTCCCCTTTTAAAAGCTTTTAAAGCGATTGCTCCAGCCCTCCAGGTTCCATTTTGAGGCCTCTTAACTATAAGCATGGGGGGAAGGGCAGCAGAGGCCTGTCTCTCGCACACACAAGCACATGCTTGAGAAAGCAAAGTAAGGCCAGGAAATCAGACTGCACTGAGAAAGAACCAAGCTTAAATCATAAACCCGAACGAAAGGTACACGGTCTGTAGATAAAATGGCCTCTGAGGACCTCTGCTTTAGTTACACTGTGCCGGGCTCCAACGAGAAGCACAGGAGGGCTCGTAACTGGACGGACTCCGAGATGAAAGCTCTTGTGTACATCTGGGAAGAGTATGTGACAGAGCTAAAGAAAGCTAAGCGCAATGCTAAGATCTACGAGACCATGGCTAAGCAACTTTACGAATTAACTGGGGAACAGCGACACAGAGAGGAGATCAAGATGAAGATTACCAACATGACCTTCCAATTCAGGCAAGTATCTATCAATCTATCTATCTATCTATCTATCTATCTATCTATCTATCTATCTATCTATCTATCTATCTATCTATCTATCTATCTATCTATCTATCTATCTATCTATCTATCTATCTATCTATCAATACTTTTCAATAACCTTATAACTACATTAGTGGTAATTTTATAAGTCTTTCAAAGCTCCCTATTGGCTGTGATGCGGATGCACGCATTTAACGCATGCGCAGTACAGTTTTTAATCTCGCATGCTGTTTGTTCAGGACAGAAAAACCGAGCGGCATATTTACTGATTACGTAAATGACGTCACGCGCACTCGCGCAGCACCCACCGCAGCCTGTTTTCAGTTTCTATTACCATTCATCTCTTTTCGGCTTAGTCCCTTTAGTTTCTATTATTATAAACCATTTTAAAACAAGCAGTGTAGGCTACCAGCTACACAAGTCGATTCAAACAGCAGCAAAAGACATAAAACAGAATCAAACACTTCCCAGAACCAAGATGATACAAAAGCCACCTGGATCAGTTTTGTTGTCACATCCATAGTGGTGGATGAACGTTCTTTTATTTACCCAAAGTATGTGTACACAATATATCATATATGTACACAAATACCTGAGAGTAAATACACGTTTTAGTTTGTGGACTATGTGGCTGTTAAGTGAGTAACATTACAGTTCATATTTCCAGTTTGGCAGCTAAATGTTATTAAATATTAGAGAATGTGATTGTACTTATAACAGTTTATGATTATAAACACGCTTTTTTGTGTGTGTAGATCTGTAAAAACATTAAGCAAAAATGACAACCCTATAATTTATATTTTTTATATCCGTATCATAAAAGATTCTTGAAACAATTATTGATAAAAGTAGTTTAGAATAATCATTTGATTATTACTTATTCCTTTATGTATTTTAAATGTGATTTATTTTAAGGAACCAACCTTTTAGGAACTTTATGAGGCATTTTAAGCTAAATTTTTTAATTAATATTATTATTACTGGGACATCCTTGTCAACTTTAAGGAATAACTTATGGTGCTATTTAAAATAAGTTGACTTTTATTTAGTTATATGAAGGATATAAATAATTCATATTCCAGTAAACAAAACAGTAACAAACTGCAGAATACAGCTTTTAAATGCTTAGGTTTAATCAAAAGTTGTGAAAATAATTCATTCATTTTCTTTTCGGCTTAGTTTCTGCTTTATTAATCAGGGGTCACCACAGCGGAATGAACCGCCAACTGATCCAGCTTATGTTTTACGCAGCGGATGCCCTTCCAGCATCCAATTTAGCACATTCAATTCACCTTTCTTTGGACTGTGGGACAAACTAGAGCACCCGGAGGAAATTCACACGAACACGGGGGAGAACATGCAAACTCCACACAGAAATGCCAACTGACCCAGCCGGGGCTCAAACCTTCTTGCTGTGAGGCGATCGTGCTACTTTCTGCACTACCGTTACACAATTTTTTGTGTGCAGATTAATGTAGCAGTCTACCATTTCTGATCTCTTAAGCTATAGTTTATTATAATAGATGCTTATACATTATAAAACAGTGTGCATAAATACTTTAACATCACCCTTTTTTAACAGGAAGCTGAAGTACACAGCAAATGGTGGGAGTTCTACACCTGATTGGCCGTACTACAAATCTATTGAAAGGATTTTGTCAAAGGTGCCAGATCATGGCCATATGAGCCCACCAAACCTCTCATCGTCTGGCCCCTCGACCTCTCAGCACGACCCTGCTGTGCCCCAGTCTGCTCCACCAAGCGGGTTTTTGCCAGAGTACACTGGATCCTCAGAGGAGAGAGATATGAATGATGAGGATGACGGCCTGACAGACAACTCTGCAAGTTCTTTTGAGACCAGGTAACATGTTTGATCACTTCACAGAACAATGAAAAAGAAAGCGTACTCAATATTTATTCAGCCTGAAGTGGTTTCAAACCTTTTTGAGTTTCTTTTTTTCTGTTGAACACAAATGAAGTTACTTTGAAAAATTTTAGAAACCTTTAACTATTGATTTCCATAGTATGAAAAACAAATACTACAGAAGTCAATGGTTACTGGTTTTTAGCATTTTTCAAAATAACTTATTTTGAGTTATTTAGAAAAATGCTAAAAGCTTGTTACCTTTGACTTCCATTGTATTTGTTTTTCATACCATGGAAGTCAATAGTAACCGGTTTTCAGTATTTTTCAAAATAACTTATTTTGCGTTCAAAAAAAAAAAAAAATGCTGAAAAACATTAACCATTGACTTTCATAGTGTTTGTTTTTCAAACTATGGTATTCAATGGTTACAGATTTTCAAAATTTTTCAAAATAACTTCTTTTGCGTTCAATAGAAGAATCTTTAAAAAAAGTTATTTAGGAAAAATGCTGAAAACCTGTAACCATTGACTTTTACAATATTTGTTTTTCATACTATGAAAGACAATGGTTACAGGTTTTCAGCACTTTTCAAAATAACTTCTTTTGCGTTCAACAGAAGAAAAAATCTTTAAAAAATAAGTTATTTCAAAAAATGCTGAAAACCGGTAACCATTGACTTCCATTGTATTGGTTTTTCATATGGAAGTCAAGGGTTACAGATTTTAGCATTTTTCATATTAACTCCTTTTGCATTCAACAGAAGAAAACAATCTTTAAAAAAAAAGTTATTTAGAAAAATGCTAAAAAACGGTAACCATTGACTTCCATGGTATTTGTTTTTAATACTATGGAAGTCAATGGTTACGCATTTTTGAAAATAACTTCTTTTGCATTCAACAGAAGAAGGAAATCATTAAAAAAAAGTCATTTAGAAAAATGCTGAAAACCTGTAACCACTGATTTCTATAGTATGTGCTTATCATAATAAGGAAGTCAATGGTTACAGGTTTTCAGCATTTTTTAAAATAACTTCTTTTGCGTTTAACAGAATAAAAAAATCTTTAAAAAAAGTTATTTAGGATAATGCCTTAAACCTGTAACCATTGTCTTCCATAGTATTTTTTTTTTACACTATGGAAGTCAATGGTTACAGGTTTTCAGCATTTTTCAAAATAACTTCTTATGTGTGTTCAACAGAAGAAAGGAATCTTTGAAAAATAAGTCATTTATAAAAATGCTGAAAACCTGTAACGATTGGCATTCATAGTATTTATTTTTCATACTATGGAAGATTACAGGTTTTCAGCACTTTTCTAAATACCTTTTTTTAAGGATTTTTCTGCTGTTAAACGCAAAATAAGTTATTTTGAAAAATAATGAAAAACAGTAACTATTGACTTCTATATTATTAGTTTTTCATACTATGGAAGCCAGTGGTTACAGTTTTCTAACATTTCTCAAAATAGCTTCTTCTGTGTTCTACAGATGAAAGAAACTCAAACATGTTTGTAACAAGTGAAGGGTGAGTAAATGGTAACTCATTTTTCAGTTTTGGGTGAACTATCCCTTTAACTTCATGCCTGTCCGTTTACAGGTCACAGCCACATAAGCGGAGAAGGCTTTCGCATGTGTCACTACGGCGAAAGAAGCTGCGTGTCCTGGATGCAATGCTGAAGGAACAACGCAGGATTAGCCATGCTGTCGAAGAGGCATGTCATGAAGTTCGCCGCGTTATGCATCAGCAGAACTTCCTGCAAGTGCAGAGCCTCCAGCTTCAGGAGCGAATGATGAACCTCTTGGAAAAAATGATTCCAGCACAATCTGCTCCTTCTTGGCCAAACCCAGCTTCTGCTAAGGGTTTAGGAACACCCACGCCTGAGTGACAAGAACTCAAAGATAAGGACCTTTGCAGAGGAAGTGTTGCCATGTTATCCAAGCATAAAAGCTGTAACCAACTAGTTAGCGGTATATTACTGACATATTTAAGCGCTGTTAAGTCTTCTATGATGAATTTCCAAAATATGTGGCAGATGTAACCCACACAAGCACATTTTTGAACAAATGAGTAGTTATCCACATTGATTTAATCTGACTTGAAATATATTTCTTTGTGCATTAGAATTTAAAAAAAGATCGTAATGTGACACTAAAAGTGTGTCTAAATCAATGTGTTAGTCTCAGATCCAGGTGAACTTCAACAGAAATTGCACATCATTCATGGTTGAGAGACATCTGACAGATTTCAGATCTCTTTTAAGACATTCTGTGAGAGGATGCAGTGTTGAAGTAAACAGCAGAAGGACTGAGGTCAGGTCAGCTAAGGCTGACAGATAATGCCGAATGGTTGGTGATAATGGAAACTGGATTAAGTTGACAAGGATTCAAAATGGAAGAGGACAATGTTTGTTTAGTTAATGCCATTAGTTCAATGTTTACGGTACACTGTTAAAGCATATAGCACAATTTAACATGTTACGGAATGCGATTGTTTTGGTTGATGTTTATAGGATTATGGGTCAACAACATGACAGTCATGTTTAGCTTAGATCTGTTAGAATATACCCAAATATAGAAAATAAATCAACACTTAGTTTGTGTTATATTTATGTTATAGATATATTTTTTAACATTTATTTTTCAAGAATTGGAGAATATTTTTTTCTATCTATCTATCTATCTATCTATCTATCTATCTATCTATCTATCTATCTATCTATCTGTCTGTCTGTCTGTCTGTCTGTCTGTCTGTCTGTCTGTCTGTCTGTCTGTCTGTCTGTCTGTCTGTCTGTCTGTCTGTCTGTCTGTCTGTCTGTCTGTCTGTCTATCTATCTATCTATCTATCTATCTATCTATCTATCTATCTATCTATCTATCTATCTATCTATCTATCTATCTATCTATCTATCAAAAGAAAGCACCAGAAGGACAGAGATGTCAGGTCAGCTAAGGACATGATTATGTCAAGTGTTTGGTAATAATGGAAATTTAATGGAATATACAGTGCTCAGCATAATTGAGAATTAAGTACACCACATTTTGACAAATATTCCAAATGAATATTTGTATCCATTTCTCAGTGAATATAGGCAATTTATTTTGATGCATTTAAGCAAAACAGATTTTTTAGACAAATATATATATTAAAATAATATTTTAATCAAAAAACATATATAGAAATTGAAAGATAATACAATTAAATTCAAGCAAAATATTGCAAAAAAGAATTACAACCTACAAAATGTCAACTCAATTTTTACATTTTTTTTTGCTTCTCTTGATCTTTCCTCTTTTTAATTGTGTTTAATATTTTTCTATAACATATAAATTTAGGTGTACCTGTTTTTGGACCGTTATCGTAAGTTATTTTGTTAGATTAGCTCCAGATTTGGCTTCAGTACTGACTAATCTAATGTATATGCACACATATAATATTGTACAGCTTCCTATTAACATTATTAATTTAAAAGACAGATTTGTGAGGGGTGCACTTATATGCTGAGCACTGTAGGTATAAATCTATATTTGTCTGGCTAAAATAGCATAACTTATTCTTACTATTTCTTTATGCCACAGAGAATGAGATCATTTTTACAAACCTGGCTCATGAATTATAAACTTTTAAAAATATTTTAGTTTTATCATTTCAGGACAGAAGATCGAGCCTGACTGGCACCCAAACATTATAATGGCTAATGCATCACCACATGCTCTTTTAATTCTTCTTAATGTGCAGACAAGATAGTTAATCCTTTCTGCCATGCTCAAACGTGCTTGTGCACGTGGTAATAAATAGCAATAAAAGGAGAACAAACATGATTTTTTAAAAATTAATTAGAAGAAGCTGTATAATATTATATTGAATATAGTAAAAGAGAACAGTTATTTTACACAATATCCACATTAGATGAACAGGATTAAAGCAAAACCCAAAAATTTATAAAAAAAAAATTCGGCTTAGTCCCTTTATTAATTAATTGTCACCACAGCGGAATGAACTGCCAACTTATCCAGTATGTTTTTTTACACAGCGGATGCCCTTCCAGCTGCAACCCATCACTGGGAACCAAAAAGTTCAGTACTTAAAATAATAATAATAATTATAATAATAATGCAATAAAAAATACATAAAAAATCAAGTACTATGAAAGATTTCATCATATTTACTAAAGAAAGAAGCATTTTTCTTATTATCAATAATTCTAAGTGAATTAATGAATTGTTCTAGGTCTTTTTTTATTTTAAGAAACCTGTTTGTAAAAGTAAAAATTTCGAGCAAGTATAAGAACAGACATTAGTTTCAACCACCCACTCTTTTCCTTCTCTCCGTCTGCGATGAACTGACCTGCTGTCAGTCGTCCTGAACGGTGCCTGTTGATAAGAGGAAAGGCGTTAGTGCTCATTGACCTGACTGGGTGTGGTGACATGAATAGTAAACGAAATTTTAAAAAATGCCCTGCAGCCCTTAAGCTATACTCGAGTGTCAAATATGTGTCAAAGTACTGTATTTCAGGAAAAAAAAAAACTGAATGTATCTTTGAGAGCGCAGTGTCCACGCAATACCTGCATACAGTTTTATAACTTAATACTTAATATGTCTAATGTTGTTTTTAACACATGGTCGTACTTACTGTCCCAAAATTCTCGTCTACTCTTAGGTGAACCCAATCAAAAGTACTAAAAATAGTAATAAACTGTAAACAATACCCTAAAAACAGCATGATTTTAGCAACCGCCAATGAGAGCGCTGTAAATATTTGAATATCAAACATGATTGACGCGGGCTTTAACCAATGAGAGAGCTTGCTTCAGTTTGCAAACGTTACGCTGTCATAGCGACAGGGAGAATGACGCTTTGTATTCCCAACAATAGTGAATGGCAGTGGTTTAAGTGCGTCGCGCGAACGGAGTTCAGAAATAAACGATGAAAAACTTTGGGATTTAAAGGACTGCAGGTAAGCACCGGTGTATGTGTTAATTCTTAACGAATACGTCAAAGTTGAGAGAAAGAAGTGAGCGTGGAACTCAAGTTTGTTTACATGAATGAAAAGCTTGAATGAAAAGTGTTGGGCATGTGACATCTGAGAGCTGTTTGGATGGCGATACCTTTGTATCTAAGTTACCTTTCTTTTTAAAACAATCCATATCTTTCTTCCTAAACACGTGAAGAAATTTGATTAAAGCAACTTAAAATACCATAATATATTAACATTTTAATAACCTTTGTGTTTACTTGGGTTGTCTTGCGGTTTGATCAAAAATGTGGTGAATTTGTAACAAAAGGAAAACAATTCCTTATAAGTGATTTCATAATAGTAATATTTGTGAGAATCAAGTTATGTCACATAAATATTGGTTGTGTATTATATGCAGTTGTTTATATGTAATGATATTTGTAAATATTAATTATAAATAAAGTATATATATATATATATATATATATATATATATATATATATATATATATATATATATATATATATATAAAATGCAGTTTATATGTGATCATATTTGTATAAATGGAACGAAATAAGATAACATTTTTTTCTAGATATCTTAGGTATGGGTCTGAGTGAATGAAATGTTAATATTTCCTTTATTCTAAAAAGTTCAGATATTTTCTTCAACTTTTAAACAAAATGTATTTTCATTAATTCATAAAGTGATTGGTCAGAACAATAATTTTTTTAATTTGTTGAGATTGTAAATCAGGCGTTTCCACTAAGTATTTCTTTCACAAGTCTTCTGAACTTTTTCTTTTTTAAAACAATCCATATTTTTAAACATTTGAACAAATGTGTTAAAAAGCTACTTAAAATATCCTAATATATAAACATTGTAATAAACTTGTATGTTTACTTGGGCTATCATGCGTTTTGACAAAATATGTGGTGAATTTTTAAAAATGTGAAAAGAATTAATAAGAAGTTATTTCATAATAGTAATATTTATGAGAATATTGTTATTTCATATATAATATTGGTTATGGTCATATATAATATTGGTACATGCATTTAAATATGTAATGATATGTTTAAATAATTTTAAATAGAGTATAAATATGCATATTTATATAAATAGCAAATAGCAAATAGCAATATCACAGTAATACATCATCACACTCCATATATAATGCTATTCAAAGAAATAAGATAATTTTTTTATGGATTTATTAGGTATGGGTTTGAATGAAATGTAAATCTTTGATTATTCTAGAAAGGTCGGATATTTTTTAAAAATTTTAAATAAATGTATTGTCCTTTATTAATAAAGTGACAATTGGTTAGAATTATAAATGTTTCAATTTGTTAAGATTCTAAACCAGGGGTTTCCATCAAGTATTACAACTTTTCTGAATATAAAGCAACTGATATTGTTTATTGCTGTCAGATGTTTTTTTAAATATTTTGTGCAACATTTTTTTAATAAATACCATGAGTGGTTTACACAATTAAAGAAAAATTATCTTTACCCAAGCACATAACAATAATTTACATAGTATTCTTATAGAATTTGTATATATTCTTATATAGTTTGCATAAATATAAAAATAAAAATAGTCATTTTTTAACACAGTTTTTACCGATTCTACTCCAAATAATAGAAATATAAGAAGCCAGGTGTGGTGCTCTTTTAGAGCAATCTTTAATGTCTAGTGTGGGTTTGTCATGTCTCTGTTATCACTTTGTCTATGTTTGCTTTCATAATATCTACTCAAACAAATGAAAAGTCTCATCTTCTAACCTTTGTCACTTTTCTCCCCTTAGGTCTGACCCTTAGCAGCACAGCAAGATGATCTTCCCTGGATAGAATTTTATCTGAACGAAACTACTATACAAGTAGAAAATTCTACTATTACCAGGATCAGAGTGAGAGTTGTCAAGCAACCTGACTCAACAATGAGGCTTTTGGACCGTCCCATCAGCCCGGCGGTCCGCAGGGTGGAAATGGAGCGTGGCAGAGCTGGCTATGGATTCACCATTGCCGGTCAAGCACCATGTGTTCTCAGAGGAATAATAAAAGGGAGTCCGGCGCACAGTGTAGGACTACTACCTGGGGATCGTGTCTTGCGTGTAAATGACACAGATGTGTCTGAAGCATCACATGATGTTGTGGTGAAGTTGATCGGTACTTCATCAAAGTCACTGTGTTTGCTGGTCACATCAGGTGATCGACCACCCATGGCCTGCTGCTCCAGTGACGAGGAACTGGGTTGTCAGAATAAGAGTAAACGTCCGTGGCTCAATCCTGGAATAAAGGACCCTTTCCCAGGTAAACTTGATGGCAGGGATTTGAAGGAACCAATTCTTCAGTCGGTTGGAAGTTTTGATACCGTCTTTGAGATCTCAGATCAGGGCACCATGACCCCACATCAGGAGAAGCAGAAAAAACAAAGACCTTTGTCTGAACCAGATGTGTCTTACTGGTTGCAGCAGCAGCAGAGATCCAAAGGGAATGTCGATATTCTTTCACAGGATGAAACATCTCGAGTAGTGAGTGAGGATTCTGTGTTTTCAGACCTTCAGAGTCAGAATGACCTTGCATCTGACTCCAGCATCCTGAACGTTGCAATGATTGTCGGATACATTAATTCCATGGAACTGGAGCTAGTAA